GGAACACAGTGCCTGACTGCTGCCCTGCCTGTATAATTATTAAGTCTAGAGAATGGGTTGGGAAAACAGCTTTGAGAAAAGCACCTCTTATAAATGAATGATTACTGACTTGGCAAAGCATTCATAATACTGACAGCCAGTTAGGAAAATTAAACCAATGCAATAGTGATTATTTTTCTCAAGAAGTGTTTGTGTAAGAAAAAGAGGGCAAACATTTGTACTTCTTGGAATGTTAAGAGCAATATTCTGCTGTGAGAAGTGACCTATAGACACGTGGTTGTTCTGTATTTCAGGGCTGTAAGTTAGGAAAAACTCTGAGCTGGGTGTCACCTTCTTCTCAAAGAAAACCAAAAGCTTTCAAATTCAAATTTGCCAGTTTTATTGGAATGAAGACTAGAAAGGTAACTTCTTCCATAATAAAATCTTCACAGTGATTTGTTGGGGTGAGCTGTAGCAGTTTTATGCACCACTGCCCCCTTTGTGCAGGTAGGTCTTGATGCAGGGCTTGGTTGTATTCAATGTGATTTGGTGAGTGGCAGCAAAGTGGGAGCTGTTTGGGGTTTGGAAGATTTTTTTGTCACAAGGAGATTTTGCTTAACTAGAAAAAGAATTGTGCTAGGTTTACTTAGTAACTGGAAGATATGAAAATTAAAGAAGAGTTGAGGAATTATTTTGCTATTAAGTCAAAAGGAAAAGTTGAAATTTTGCAACTCAATTGAAAGAGGAAATCTCAGAGGTGGAGCGAATGCAGAGTTCTCAGATGTTGGGACATTATAAGGAAGTTCTTAAAATTAATGTGAATAAAAATGTTACTATTAGTCTCTCTTCCTCATTTTGGATTTACTTTGGCTTTAGTATGTGTTTTTATTTTTTGTGTTTAATGTGGTGTTTGCTTTTACTGTCATACAAGAAGATGATGGTAATTCTCTATGCAAATGTCATCCTCAAGCTAACGAATACCATTAATGTATATACTGGAAGCAGTACTTATTCTGAAAGCATTTTGATTTCAATGATTCATAAATGTTCTGATAGTGCATATGTGGGTGAAGGGTAGCATGTGTGAGCATCCTCTAGTTCTGCTGAATACTTCATATGTAATCTGCATATTTTGTCTTGTTTCATTCTGATTTCTGCTGCCCTGTGTCTGCAGTCCCATGGCTTTTCCTCACAGTTGTCATGCTGCTTTGAGCAGCTCAATCCCTCCCTACACCTTCACTTCTTCACTTCCCAGCCTTGTATCCTTCACTGCAGAATTAGGGGCAGGAGGGAACTGATGCAGGTTCTCCCCCATCTGGTGTTCACTTGCCAGGGAGAGGAGAGGCAGAGCTCACTTCCCTGCATGCAGTTCCTCTGGTGCACAGTTTGTTTCCTATAATCCAAAATGAGTTACTTGTAAATGACTTTAATTAAAACATGAATGTAGTATTATAAACGTTAATATGTTTTTATGGATGTTAGAGACTTGCAATAAAAGTGTGCCATCAGATTTTTGTGTCTTTAGTTGATAAAAGGATGCAGAAGGCAGAGACTGATGAGAAGGGATGGGCTGGTTGGATTAGGATTATTTTGGGAAAAGGCTATTAAGAGAAAAACAGAATTGCTTTAGCCATTTTACTATTTCAACCCTTGCAGTAAAAAGTGTTGGTCCGTGTCTAAAAAAAATTATAGCACCTTCTGTCAGTTTTTCTGATAACTTTATAAAAACTTGACTTTAAAGCTCTGATTCTGTCTTGATAATCAGCATTCAGATGTCCTAGTACATGCTTTCACTAAGCCGATTTCCTTTGAGTCTGTGAATACTCACTGTATTTCAAAAGCTCTGAACAGTTTTAAACGGCTGAGGAGAGAACTGACAAGCCTGAAAATTAAATTGTAGCAAAGACCTGAAAATGAGGAGAGTTCTCACAGTCACCCAAACAGAAATTTATCTTGCTTTAAATTTTGGTTTTAATAAATGTATACTCCTCTGTGTATTTGACATAAATCATACATGCTACTTAATAGTGTCACTTTAATTTTATTTTATAGGTTATTAAAGTGTTATGAGTATTTACACAGATTTATTAGAGTGCTTGCTCAATTTTCTACTTTTATGTGAAAGTAGATACAATGGTAATATAGCAGGTTATTAAATTTTGGCACCTAAATGTGTGGCTGTGTGTTAGCATGGGAGTAAAATTCATTGAAAGCTCTGAGTATCTGCTGAGAAGAAAAGGGTTTGCTGTCTTTGCTCAGCCAGCTGTGAACATCTGTAGGGAGCTGTGTGTTCATTCCAAGCTGCTGCATTAGGGAGTTCAGGAGTTCTGCTGTGGGGTCTGTAGGTGTGTGCCCCAAATACCAGAAAAATTGAGATTTTTTCCGGGGTGAGATTCCCCACCCCGGAATCTCAAACCAGCCAACACCATGGTCTGTGTGGGAAGGCTGGGAGCGTGGAATACGGATTTTATTTATTTGTACCACCCTTTTCTTGGCTTAGGACCCCCTAATTTTTCAAGCATATTTACTCTCATATACATCCCCTGTTTCTAAGTACAAAACCCCCCTGGCATTGTGTGTTACCCTGTTCCCAAGGCACCCCAAATTCCCAGGAACACTGAGAAAATTTACTGAGTGAAACTTCTTAGAGTTGTATTCCCTAGTGTGAGTGGCAACTTGCTTAATAAAGAAAAGCAGATATGACCAGAACAATTGGTTTATGGGGTTTTATTCTGTGGGGCTTTGAGGTTTTTTTGTTGTTTGTTTAGAGGTTTTTTGCTTGGCTGTGGTTTGGTTTTTCTTAGTTTCCCCTATGGTTCATGTGGCCTGTTGATGCAGTCAGACTGGCATGAATTTCATGAAGGGTTTTAGAGTGGTTTTTCTTGAGAAGAATGTAATTATACTTTTTGTTTTGTTCCCACACCTCCAGATACTTAACTGGAGAAAGAAAAAGAAAAACTTTTATGACTTATTTTAATGCTTTAGTAATTTAAAAATTTTTATTTAATATGAACCCTGCTTAAAATGAGTGCAATCTTGAGTCATATATATGAGTCTGGTTTTAACTTGTGCTGAATTGTATCCTAATGGATTCCACTTGATTTCAGCCTGTTTTTCTTTAGCTATAATGTCCTTGTTGGTCAAAACAAACATGTTAAAGTCATGTAGAACAGTGCAACCAAACCCCATTATGGTCATGTAGCAACATATTGATACCTTTTAAATATTTTCAAGGTCTGTGGTGCATTATAGGTGTAATAAAGAAGAGTGTAAGTTTTAGAAATAAAGCTTTTGAAAAGTAACCAATTGCACTTTTTCTTTTTTTCAGCCTGTGTATAAGGCTGTCTGTGGAAGAAATGTTTCATCATTTAACTGTTGCCTGCTTGTTAATAACAGTGAATTCTGAAGTCCATTCATCTCTGTTATTTGAAGGCAGGTAGTCAAGAGAGCAGTCACAGAACTCTGCTTCCTCAGGCCCTTTATGTCCTGTAGGGCTGTAACCTTAGAAAGGTCATGTATAGAAATGATCTTTTTTGTTGTGGGTGAAGGCTAATGAGTTTCTCTGTCTCCTTGGCTCATGTTGGGTTTCAGCTCTGTTTGAATGTGTGAGAGACACCTGGCCAGTGGAATGGCTTCAGGGTGCCTGGTTTTGGGACCTTCAGTGTTCCAGAGGTGTTTGTGGAGGATTCTCCTCCCATGTAAATTCCCTGTTGAATCCTGTCACTACTTCAGTGCTGTAAACAAAACCAGGTTGAAGAAACTGTTGCATCTTTATTTGTTCTGCAATCCACGTTTATTCTTTTTAGTGTTTAAGCACTGGTTTTAATTAAATTGAAGCACTGTGTTAAAGCAAAACAGATTTGTGGTGCTTAAGTCTTAAAACTATTTAAAAGTACCATACAATTACTAACACCTCCCAGCATTTGCCAGGTATTCCTTACTATGACTTATTCTGTGTCAGCAGTGAGAAGTTCCATCTTAGATTGGCCTTTGAGAAGTCCAGGTTTTAAGAAATAAACACAAATTCTTTACTATTAAAGCTTTTTTTTAAACTGAGATCAGGAAGGTGGACCAGTGGATTTTGGTGCTGAGGCAGGCATTGGTGCCTAAATAAAACCAGGTAGTTGAAAGGAAGCTCCCTAGTCTGAGGCCAAACCTTCAGAGTAAAAATGTGGAATTTCATCTCTACAACTTTCTGCTGTTGCTGTCCTCTTGTGTACATGAACATTGGATAAATGAAGTTGCCTCTGTATTCTTTTGATGCATGTGGTAAAGTAATCAACAACTAAGAAGTTGACATTGCTTTTATTATTGTATTAAGTCTTTTTATTTGCTGTAAATTAAGAAAACAGAGCAAAAGTAGTGAGTTCTGCTTACTTTATTGGTCAAGCACATATTATTTTTTGTGAAAATGTTCCTATTGATGCATGTTATGTGTTCACAGTACAGAAAAAAAATCCTCACTGTTTCAGTGAAATTGATTTTGCTATGGGAAGTGTCAATATGGGAATAATGATTGAAACTCAGAACTTGTTTATGGAATTATGGCCTTGCTGTGTGTTCATATATATGTATTCATGTATATTCATGCAGGGTTATAAATGACGTGGTGTTTTTAGAAATACAAATTAATCAAGCTTGATGTGTTTGACACTTCTTTCATCCTTCTTTGGAGTTGAAGTTAATGATGGTAAAAGCCAGCCTCCAATCCAAGTAGTTGTTTATTGTAAAATTAAATCTTGAATGCTGGTGTGTGTCCATTCTCTACTTCAGCCTGGACTTTCTTGGTGAACTTTATTTTCCTCGTGGCAGTTGATGATTAAATTCCTTCTACAATACGTTCAAGATCTCAAACACACAATAGCAATACAGTTCCTGTAAGTGGTTCATTTGTTAATCTGAGCTCTGTTTTACAAGAATTGTATGAATGCTGCTTTCCTTTGAAATTGATCTTCAAAAAGAAATCCTGTTTTGTATAATAAGATGCCAGACTCACAAAGATTTCCTTTCTTGTTTCATAGACGTTCCATCTTCAGAGCAGCCTGAACTGTTCCTAAAGAAACTTCAACAGTGCTGTGTCATTTTTGACTTCATGGACACGCTTTCAGACCTTAAAATGAAAGAATACAAGCGCTCCACTCTTAATGAACTGGTGGACTACATTACAATAAGCAGAGGCTGTTTGACAGAGCAGACTTACCCTGAAGTAGTTAGAATGGTGAGTTCTTTCTTTCTCATGGTCTCTTGTTAAACCCACTTGCACTTCCAGTTACACCCTGTGGGCAAAATTGAACCCTGGGGTAGGTGGATTAAGTGATGCCTTTGGCTTGGATTTATTGATAGACATTGATTGGGGATAATTCTCCAATGACAAAAATATTAATTTTTATATATTTTAAATGAAAGTCAAGTAGATTATGGTTATTATAGTGTCACAAATTACGAAAGGAAACCTGGATTGTTTCCTGATAGAGAAAGCCAGCAGCCATTAAATCACAGTCCCTCATGTTTCCTCAAATCTCTCTTCCCTCTCCTCCCAGTGTAAATAATGGAATAATTTTTGCAAGTTTCTTTTCTTTCTTTGAACTTTCTCCAAGTTCTTGGGTGTCTGCCTCAGGTACAGATACCTTAAAGCATGCATGGATAATAATTTTAAAATAATAAATGCTAAAAATGTTGTACAGGATTGTTGTGTCAATTTCCTCGTTGGGTTATGTGGATTCATTGCAGGGGCTGTTAGAGTGAGCAAGATTGCTCAACTATAAAGCCACACCTTGTATATATAAATTGTTAAATAATAGTGTTTTCATTGTAAAAATGGAAACAGTACCAGATGCTCTGTGGTGAAGAATGTTCATTGCAACTGGCAAAATCAATCACTGCTTTAAAATGTTTGTTCTGTGCTACTGAACAGAACCCTTATAACCTGTTCTCTAAATGAGAAAGCAATTAATTAAATATAGATTTGGTCTTGACAGTTTCCTAACAGTACTGTGTGATTGTGGGATCCACTGGCTATGTGCTGTAAGAAGAAAAACATGAATAGTTTTTGCATTGCATTGTGTTTGCTCCTTGCTTCTTTTCTGACACACAGATACATGCTGTGTTGCTTGTCTGTAGTATTTAAAAATAGCTGTAAATTGTGACAGAACCATCAAGCAGTTAATCATGAAGGAAAAAAAACAGAATTAAGGGTGTATGAAAAAATCTTAATATGTCTTCTTTGTGTGTATGAATTGTCAGAAAGCCTGTAATTATGAGTTCAGGTTCTTTCCCTTCTCCCTCACCCTCTCCTGCCCCTTTCTGCACTGGACCAGTCTTGTGAATGAACTGCTTGCTGTGTTATTTCTTCACAATGTGAACTCATGCACCATTCACATACCAGGCAGAATACAGAATGGCTTTTTTTTCTTCTCATTTTTTTGCTGGTGCTGCACTGTGGTATCTAAATGGTTTGCATGTGTTAGTTTAATCTGATGTGTACCCCTTGTGATGAACAAAGTATATCACACCCTTTGCCTAGAAAAGATGTTGATGCACAGATAACTTCAATAAAATGGAGGACTTTTTCTGTGTGTAGCAGATGCCTCCAAACTCATCCCCCCAGAGAATTTGGTAATTTTTATAGCATTTCTGTTACTGAGGTTTTATTCTTGGGTTGACACTGGTTATTGTTGTTTACTGCAGCAACATCTCTTGAATAAAAACTCTGCAAGTTAGTGGTGCCTTAGCCTGGGCCCCAGGAAGCAAGAAGAATTTGATTTGTAATTGTTTATGAGGTTCAATTTGAATCATAAATAATAATCTATGAAACAGTAAAGTAAAACCCCTTTGGTATCATGTCCTGCTGTCCCTGCAGTCACTTGTATTGATTCACACAACAGGTTTTAACTTAAGGAAATGATGTATTGCCTAAAGAGTTTGAAAAGCATGGTTTTGAATAATTTCCTTAAATATAGTCTGTATTTATGGTATGGAGTAGCTATTGGAAATAAAGACACAGCCTGAATATTTCCAGTGGATTTCACAGATATTTACTAATGGTGCTTAAGAAATTCCAGTTTCACTTGGATCCTTTTAGATAGAAATCTGTTCTCTCATCTTTTCCTTTCATGGTGTCATGCCCTTCTTCATTCTGCTTTCTTCTACTTTGCATTTGTGGTGCTGAACCCAGGCTGTTTCCTCTTCAGTGCTGGGATACTGAAGCAGGGGAGGACTGTGAATATTCTCATGTCCTGTGTCTGGCTACCCAGTGACTCCTGACTGCCCAAATCTGATTTTTTTTTAACAAGTAAAAAGATGCCTATTATTTAAGTATTTAAAGAAGTGAACATGTTTTTATTCCTTAAGAATTTCCTGAGGAAATTTTAAGTAAATATAATTGGAAATTGTAATTTAGATTTTGGGTGAAACTCCAACCTGCAGCAGCTGCCTGAGCTTTGGTGAAGGTGTAAGCAGCTGAAAGCTGGACTCCCCTGCTTGTGCCTGCCACAACCAGTGGTGTTTTGGGTGCATGTGCTGCTGGAAAACCACTTTGGTGGTTGTGTTCCATGGGAGCAGGAGGCAGTGCTGTGATGCTGAATTTGTGGGGATGAACCCATAGCAGATACATGAATAATTCCTGTTGATGGTCCCAGTGAATGCTGCTGCACTGTTTCTGCTAAACCACATCACCAGGGCTTTTGAGGCTTGCAGGTGTTTTGTTTTTTGTAGATGGACTGTCTGGTAAAAATGCTGGTTTTTCCTGCTGGTCTTTGCCTATAAAAGCAAGACTTCTTCACCACTTTGAGAGCACAGGCCCTACAGGGAAGGGTAGTTCTAATATGCTATAGAATGAGTTTTCAGCACATACTGCCTGGTGAAGAGATGGCATTAGTCACTTTGTACTAAAGCACTGCTTTTTGGTGTAACTTACTCTTTGCAGTAAATACATGTTCTTGTTTCAGGCAGCTTTGTGCCCATAATCATGCACTGATACAGACTTAAATGTGCACAGTTGACTTCACAAGTGCAGCTACCACCTTCATGTGCTTTTGGGGATTTTCACCAAAGTCTCCAGCTGGGTTCACAAGGGAGCTGTCACATTGACAGTCTCAGACCTGTCATGATAGTGAAGAAAACAGCAATATCTGTGTTCTGACCAAATTAGCATCCCCACTGCCTGCCTGCCACAATTGTCATGGGAGTGTTTTGATTGAAAGACCAGGATCTTAAAACTGATCAAAACTGAGCCTGGTTGTTTTATGTCCCTTTGAAAGATCTCTACCCCGTTATGTTTAGTGTTTATGAATCTCAGAATTAGTATTTTCTGCTTGTCCCTTTTGGCTACTGTGATTTGGAGGTGAAGGGAAAAAAAAGTCCTTTTGTGAGTTTTAACATCATCCAGGAGCAGAGAAAAAAAAAAGGTGCACCAGTCTAAAACTGGTATTTTTAAAGTTACTAATACTCATAGAGAAAGATTAATAGTTAAAGTATTTTCTAAATCATCTAAAATGTTTGAAAAAGTAATTTATGTGGAAGAGACTTCTTTTGTTTTAAGGTTTTATAATGTATGTGTATGTTAATGATCTCTGTCAGTGACCCAAAAGGTGTTTGGCTCTAGACATACTAGGCTAGGAAAAATTTGCCAGTAGAATTCTTCAGAAGAGCTGAGATTTTTAATTGCTTCTAAAATATAAGGGTTTGAAAAAGTCATTTGTGGCAGCCAGATAACTTAGAGATGTTTTTCATGCTGACCATCTAAAATTTATGCCATTAAAAGCTTTATCCATGCTTGTAGCATCACATGTTTTCATCTTCTTCTCTTGAGCATGTGATATGATGTTGGATATAGCTAAATGTGAAACCACTTGGCTGTTTGTCAACCTGTGTACAAATCTGCTTCTTTAAATCACTCTCTATAGCTTGATACAGTGTCTGGCATGTTATTTGTTATTCAAAAAAAATAAAATAAACCAGAATCTCCTAATGACCACCAAAGCAATTGGCAGAGGCCTCACCATGTCATCAGTATCAGTTGATGGGGAGAGGAATTGGGATTTGTGGTAATGGCCATGAGCTGAACAGATTTATTCAGGAGGGGATTGCTCAGCATGCTTCCCCTGCAGTTTGATGTGTTGTTCAGAAGGGCAGATGACTTTCTTTAGAATTAGGCAAATCTTAGGAAAAATGGCCTTGCCAATTAAGCCACACTCTGCTAAGAAGGAAATGCCTGTAGTAGGACTTTATGAGCCAATAATTGGGCATTTAATCTAAAATTTATTCCTGTCTGAGCAAAATGTGGAGGCTTAAACTAATGATACTGATTTTTGCTGGTAGATTAAGCAGTGGTAGTTGAAGGAAATAAATGTTTGTTTTTATCTGTGGTATCCTGAAGCATGTATGTGGTAGAACTGTTTGTGCTTTATGGATGTTAAGACATAGATTGAGGAAACTCATCTATTTAATTTGAAAAATGAACAAAAAAAAATGACAAGCTGTTAAAATGAGAAGTCTGGATGAATCTCTTTGTTGGTGAGCAACCTTTCAGCTCTCCTACTTGCTTCTTTAGAAATTGCAGACCTGGGCCCTGACGTTTACACATCAGTGTGTGTTTGCCAGCCCACAGGAGATGGCTAATGAAACTCTCTTCAGATCCATCTTTTAGAATGGAGTAGTGATACTTTGTTCTCTTTTCTAAGTGCTGAAATGCCTCTGGCTTCCCATTGTCATCTTTATCTTTTCTGTAATGGCAAATTAAATAAAATAAGACTGTAATTTCTGTTCAGCCCAAGTGAAACATCATAGGAGATGTCATGTGGTGTAGAAGCTGTGTTAAGCAACAGAGGGAAAGAAACTTGGTTAAATCAATACCCAAATAAACACAAAAAATGCATTTTAAAGGTCAGATTCTGGTTTGGGTTGGTTTTTTTTTTATCCTCTCTCTCTTCTTTCTACTGACAGCAATCTGGAGAGATTGCATTGGTTTTTACTGCAGGTTTGTCTCAACAGATGTGAGGGCAGAGTCTGTTCAGGAGTTTGTTTGTGACAGACCCGTTAAACATAAAGAATATCTTGCTAAGCCATGATTTTTTTAGTATGTTGAGCAACCTATTTTTAAGAAGTGTTCTAGCTGTTAGACTTCATAGGCATTATGGTTTTTATATTTTCTATAGCTTTAGCTGTGTCTTGTGACTAAGTATGACATCTTCAGAGTTTCTGTATTAAAATGTTTTTGGA